TAATCACATTACAAATGACTAAATTTTGATCCCTGAAATCTTTGGTAACACCAATGTTCACTTTGTCTGGTTTTGTTACAGTATGCCCCACATAAAGAATTTGCACTTTCTTCATGTTCAATTTTTTCCTGAAGAGCCTGTGGTTTGCTAATTGGCAATTCCCAAAGTGAAGACTTCATATACTCCAATTTTGGAATAAAAACTTTTTTTGAAATAGGTGTAATTATTTGTTGCTGAATCTAAAAAATTATAATTAAAGATATTTCAGATAAACTTGAACAATTAATGATTCCTGAAGATATTTATTGGAGGTGAAAGGTAAAATAGTTATTATTGAAATAATTAAAATTAATTATTAAACACATATAATAATTTTCTCTTTAGGACCTTGCATCAAGAATGCGCAAAGCTCAATTACCCATCTTGGTCTCTACCCTGATGATCAAGAATTTAAAGTTTGCTTAAAGCAATGCTTGAACATGAAAAACCCGGGTTTGTCAGATAACATGAAGATAAATGGATACATTACTATTCAGGACAAATTGGACCATTTAGTATATCATGATTGTTACATGCTCTTTATTTTTATTAATACCTACTAATTAATTATTCTCAAAGTGGAATGAAGTAATTAGAAGTCATTGAAGTGATAAAGCTAAGGATGTTAGATCTGCAATGTTTGAAATATTTGGAGAAAATCATTTAACACATCATATATTAATACTACTTGTGGCTTTTACTTGAGCTGTTTGTGAAATTGTATTAAACCCAAACATCCAAAAATATCTGTTAGTGATAATGCTCTTCAAAGCAGATATGAAAAATATTGGATAATTATTTTTTAATATTCTCACTTAATTATTCCTTGAGCATTTTCACCAATCCCAAAAATCTGTTTATGCAAATTTTTATTCATTTTTTTAATATACTGTAATTACCAAATCTATTAGACAAAAAGAACTTGTTAGAGGTTATGTTACAGATTCAGATGGTAATGAATCAGAATTTGAAGATATGTAAAAAAAAGGACAATGAGAATAGTGATATAAAATTTATAATGATCTATTTGATGACTGTAATACTGAGAACTCATAATAATAATAATAAACTTTATTGCTATTAGTAATATAAATTTGTATCATTGCACATTGATTTTTAATGTGGTTCATTTTAATTGAAATAAAAATTCCATAATTTATATTATATAATATAGAAGGAATCCCTAATAGTAAATCGGGGATATTTTTTCAAGGGCCTCAGCAGATCTTTGCGGGTGGCGAAGGATCCCTACTAATAAAAATTTGGGGGAATCCTTAAGCTCAAAAGCTTCCTGATGAAGGTAAGTTTAGACAAGTAAAAAAAAATTTTTTGAATTTAATGTCAATGATTATATAATATTATACTACTGCATTACAACTTTAATAATTGCAGGATTAATAAAAATATAAGCACTATTTTTTTTGTTTTGAAAAATTATTTAAGTTTCTTTTGCCAACTGTATATTTATTATAAAGATAAAAATAAAAATTCTGTGTTCAAAAAAAAAATGAAATTAATATTGTTTTTCATGTGTTAGAAAATTTTTATAGAAAAACCCTAGAAAATTCTGATACTATATGTACAAGGCGGAATTACTACACATCCATTTGTGGTATAATCCCAAACTGCAATTTCACATACAACAGTTACACAGTGATAGAGATGCTGGTATCTTTTTATTTTGAATTTGTAACATTTTTCAACATTAATGGCAGAAAACAGCAAGTTTTTGCTAAATGATGCCTTCCATTACAAACTTATAAAATTCATCCCATATGTTGAACTAGAAGGTCTGACTAAGGTTGATTGTGGTAAGTTTGGAAGTATCTCCGTTGCATATTGGCCAAAAATAAGAAAGAAAGTTGCTGTGAAGAGGCTACTTGCTTTTGAGGAGGACGATACAGCCAATGAAAAGTTTTTTCATGAGGTATATCAGGAAAATTACTGCTTATATGCGCAGATCATCATAGTTATTATATGTTACTGACATTTTTTTTATCGTTTTTTGACTTCTAAAATCCAACCCATTTTCAATATTTATCATGAGTAATAGTTACAAATTCAAAAGCGAGTGGAATACCATGACAACATAATTCGAATCTTGGGTATTAGTCAAGGTAATTTATTGTTTCATCTAAAAGACAGGATCAAAGTATTTTGAATATTTTATAATACTATAATCAAAACTTCACATTTTGATAGCATTATTTGCCAGATTCTCATTGTATGCGAAAGTTTTTTTCGTTATAATATATAGCTCACGAGCTCCACTTCTCACATATCATTGTTCATTAGATCCATGTAATAAAGATCGTCTACTTGTCCTTCAATATGCTAAAGATGGAAATTTAAGAGATTACCTTGCGCGTAAACATTCAACTTTCACATGGAATGATAGATTCAAAATTGCTTTTGGAATTGCTGACGGTCTCAATTGTCTTCATGATGAAAATATTGTTCACTGTGATCTTGTAATACCTTTTAATATTTAGATGCACAATTTAATGTTATACCTTGTCTAATTTAAATTTATTGTTCTGTTTGCAGCATTCAAGAAATATTTTAATCGACAATGGTGAACCAAAAATTGCAGATTTTGGGATTTCTAAAAGCCTTGATACCATGTCAAATTCGGTTAACGGTGTTTTTGGAATGATTCCATACATCGAACCTAAACGTCTTGAAAATCCAAGCTATAAACATGACAAAGCATCTGATATATATAGTCTTGGGGTAGTGCTATGGGAAATATCAAGTGGTAAACCTCCTTTTGAAATATATCCATGTGATGTTGCATTGGCGATATCTATAAGTCTTGGTTCACGAGAGACACCAGTTATTGGAACACCGCAAGAATATGTTTTGCTTTATCAAGAATGTTGGAACAAGACTCCACAGCTCCGACCAAACATCTACACTGTTTTACAATCTCTTGAAAGGATAACTGAAGGTTACACGGAGAGTATAGAAGGTTAGTCATCTATGTCATTCATTATCTGGCAAAAATTATAATTCATGAAATCACATTGTTATCTTTTTGCGGAAAAGCTACTTCGCCCATTTTAGACACCACGTCGCCCACATCTGATCGACAAATAACTCAAAGAAATATCGACATTAATACAGATTCAGGTATTTGTTACTACAAGGAATATTTTTATTTCTTGATGACCCATTGAATATGAATGAATATATATGACTATTAATATTGATAATCTACATTAATTATCAGATGCATATAATTCCTTACAATACAACCTTGTAATTCCTGATGATATCTGGTCTTCTGAATGTGTCAAAGATCTGACTTTCATGGATACCCCCAAATCTACTATGAACATTGATTTATCCCAACCTTCTCAGACATTGAAGATAGTCACGCAGCCAACATTTTTCGAAAGAAACATAGAACCCTCAATTGAAACGATACGTACTTCTATTCCAGAAACAGATACTTTAACAACATCTGGATCTTCACATAATCAAGCTATCATATCATCTAAGAAAAATGACCAAAATTCGCAAAATCACAATTTCACAAAAGTTTCCAGATCGTCAAATCTGCTACCATTTCTCAGCAAGGATGAAATCAGATTAAAAATTGTAGTTATAGGTAGTGGTGCAGTTGGTAAATCAAGTCTTTTGGAGGCATTTGTATTTGGCAAATGTCAACTTGTTTACATTCCTACAGTCTTTGAGAATTTTTGTGTAAATGTTGAAATTGATGGACAATATGCGTCGTTGTCATTATGGGATACAGCTGGTCAAGAGGATTACGAGAAACTAAGGGTGGCTTCGTACCCGGCTACTCATACATTTTTGATTCTATTTTCTGTTGATTGTCCCGATACCTTAGAAAATGTAATAGATAAGTGGGCGGTGGAAGTGGATCGTTACTCCAAATCTGCACCAATCATTCTAGTCGGTACCAAGATAGATACAAGAAACGATGAAAAAACAATTAGATACCTACAAAAATCCTATCGAAAACCGATAACTTATGAAGAAGGATCTAAAGTTGCAAAACTGATAAATGCGGTTAAATATTTGGAGTGTTCAGCGTTGAATTGTGAAGGTGTGAATGAGGTGTTTGAGCATGCTGCCCGTACTGCGCTTGCATTTTCTCTCACCAGGAAGAATCATAAGAAATGTGTGGTTTCATAATAATAATAATAAGTATTATTACATCACTTGAAATTTTTTGGATAAGATAAAAAGTTGTTTGTTTATCTGTACTTACTAAGATATGTATTATATTTAATCTTTAAAAATATGTCTAATATATATTTATTTTTTTTTATTGTACAGTTTCCTATTAATACAAGTATGTTGTAATAAATATTAAGAAATAATGTTTTCTGTCGACTAGAAAAGAAAACTTAATTGATAAATTAAAAAAAAATTCACATCAAAGAATTGTTACCGTTGCTCAAAAAAACCTGTATATTATTAATTCCAATGTTATCACAGCGAAATTAAATAGGAGAATTTTATCCTGGTGATGCTTTGTCATAATATCTCTAGAAATACAAAACAAGTGTTTCAAACTTTAATTAAAGTAAATGTTGATCATTCCTTATTGAATCAGATTTATGCCTTCCAATCTGTCTAAATATGGTGGGAAAAGTTTAAAATGAATAAAAGATAAACACATAAGTTGTATGGGAAATAGTATTGTATGTGGATGATCATTTTTGATGGGCAGCCTCAACAAATTATACAACAACCTATGTTTCAACAATCTCAGAAGGCTGTTCAACAAACAGTATTCCAACCGCCTCAACAAATCGTTTAACAACCTATGTTTCAACAACAGCCAGAACCTCAACCATTTCAACGAAAATTTCGTCTCAAAACTGAAAAAGCTAAAGATTAATATTATAAAAAATTACGCTGAAATGGGTCTTGAGGCTGAGGAAAACAGAGTATTGGAGCTGATGGGCATTAATTACGCAATTATCAATCTTGCAAATAAATTAAATCAATATGAAGAACTGCCTGGCCCCAAATTCATCAATAAATATAGTCAGAAACTCTAGAGTAAATATTGGACAGCTCCTACGAAAATGTAAGATTTACGAAAACCAGATCATACTTACCGTAGCTGTCCTATAATTAAAAATATGATGGCTAATATTAATAATGGAAAAGAACCGGTCATGTAATAGTGATACATATTTTTTTTATTTTATAAAATAAAGTAAGGTCCTATGGAACCATTAGTCTCGGTTAAAATTATGTGGATGTCCATGCTTTATCATCAAAAATATCTGAAAATATAACGATTTTTTGCAACGAATATTTTGTATTTCGATCAAAACTTGGAGGTTATTAATACAGTAATAGAATAAAGAAAAAATCTTGTGAAAATTTATAAAATTATAATAATAAATAAATTATATCCCTTGAACAAGTTTACAAATGAGGAAACAAAGTGAGCTATCGAGATTTTCATTTACGTTTCCGAAACTCGCAGAAAAAAAAATGAAATGAGAAAAAATTAATTTTAATAATTATTAGTTATCAATCTTTTTCCACACATAATTTCTTTTATCATTTTGCTTTAGAGTTGCTTGATATTACACAACATCACCTTCTTGTTTAAAATACCTCCAAGCAATATTCCTTTTTTTACTTCCTCTTCATAAATCATTTATTTT